AAATAAAAAGCTGAATATCTATGAAACGATTGGTTTCGTGACCTAGATATATTTACTTTGATCTTTTCTACTGTATCCATAGATCTGTATCGTGTATACGAGACATATACAAATTCATAGTGAATCGAAATGTTCGCTAATTCCACGTCTAAAGGAGACTTTGGTAGAAATGGTCTCACCGACCGTTTCCCCAGCAGAGATGAGACGAAACGCATATTCCTTTTCCTCCCGTGAAGCATTAATCATTAATTAAAACGTCGCCACATAATTTAAGAGAGATAGGGGAAGAATAGACGACGATGCTTGGAAGAAGGGGAGCGGGGGAGAAATGGAATAAGATGAGAGAAGCATAGGGAATAAGATAAAGATTGTATGTCATAAAGAGTAGGATTAATGTATCGTAGAAACAAACTACAGTACCAATGGGAATATACATTCTAAGTGGAGAAGAGCGAAGTCATTGTTATGGGCACAGGTTATTACCAGATGAGAAAGATGTTTCTCTAATTCGTTGAAAATATTAAGTACATGCTGAAGAATCATCGAGATTTTTAAGAGTATAAAAGTACGCTTAATTTGTGAAGATTCTTTTAATAACGAAAACATAACATAAGCAACAACGTGAAAAACATTCAGATTCTTTCAGGTAGTTTCCTTCTTGGACCGAGTACTAATTAAACAATGAATAATTTTTCAGAATAATGAACAACTCGAGGATGAGAAAGCATCGTTAACAACAGGATGAGACTTTTCTCAACTACTTCTATCTGTGTAATAGAATTACATCGATTACGGAGAAAGCGAATACTGAAGACCTCGACAGTGTAAAGGAGAATTTGCTAAAAACACCAGATCTGATGTGCTCTAATCAGTAATGGTAGAAAATAGTTTGAAGTTCGCAGACCACAGTGTGCTATTAACGAGACAGTATCAAGCACATTTAGGTGCGCAAATTTAGCTACTTCTCCATCCTCTGTAACAGTACTACGTAAATTGTAGACTAAGCTAAACTCTGAAATTTTCAGGAGTATGCGATAGGATTTCCTGAATCTACTAGACCAAGCCAATCGATACTGCTCCACAAGGTACACGAATTTGTGGACAAAAACGTGCCAAAGCGCGTTGAAAAGGTCTTTCTAGATCCAGGAGGTGCATTTTACAATTTCGGAAGTTGGTCAAGGATTCGAGGATAAATTTCGTCAACGATATAATCACAGATTAGATAGCTTCGTTTGGCTATCCCTATAAGAATAACATTTCCACATAAATTGTAAACTAAGGAAACAATAAAGTCCTTGACAATATGAGAGGATAGAGAAAACTATGAGGGAATACTCTCGTTATCAAAAATTGTGTTATACAACTAGGTACGATTCTGAAGGCATAATGTATTTAAATTGGGTTGAAATGATGAGTCGAATTTATCAGATTTATGTAACCAATACTCTTGCAAAGTCGAAAGTATTTCACTAGCAATAGTATTAGGTATACTTAGGTGTGTTGGCCAGCTAACTTTAGTTATGTAATAGTTTACACAGGTTGTAGGGCTAATAGAGACCAAAGTTTTCAATGGTATAAATCATATATTGAACCTGCTGAGCCTGGCCAATCAATATTCTACCTGGATAGTCAAACATTTCTCGACGAAATCGTGCCATTAACAGGAAATAGTAAACGAGCCAAACAATGAAATCTTTGACAGATAAGAGAGTGAAGTAACGAAGAAGCATTCACAATCAGCGAGATAGGAAAGGTACTGGGTTTTCCAGACTTGTGCAATCAATACTTCAGTGACAGAGACATTTGGGTGGTCCTCTTTATCAACATTTTCTGATGAAGAAGTATTATATACATCCTGCAATATATAAACAAAAAGTCTGCGAACGATAGAATACCGTTCCACAGAAATAACAAACAGGTTTTCAAGACTAGTGTAGCCAATGCTTTGGAATATTCAAAAATCGGAGCTTAAAGATGTGTCATTATGATTAAGAGTTTCAGCTACGTCTACCTGTACAGGAGTATTGCACGGATCTCAGATTGAACAAAAATTCGATAACAGTCGATCTGATGTCTATTTGATACATGCCAAAAGATAGTAAAAAGATACATGCTTCGTGAAGTACTTGATACAACAGGGTAAGGTCTCACTATTTTGCTAGGTTCGTGCAACCAATACTCCATTACCAGGGATATTTGTAAAAATACGTTCTATCAACATCCCACGCCACGCGAACAACCAATCATTCAACAACACAAAGAACTCGCACTTGATACAGCACGCATATCAGTGTCCGCGTCAGAAATCAAAATAACGACGCAGATACAACCGCCAGGAAACATAAATTCATGCTCGACCAAAATCGACAGTCGGACGCGCTGATTCGTCGAGGGATCGTTACCTTTGACTCCAACCTGTCCGTCAGGCTTCTGCTGTCCCGTTTGGAAGTTGGGCGGCGGTTGAAGGTAGTTGATGCCGACGATGGTCGCTGCGGGCTCGTAGTGTATCACCCTGGGCCTATCCTCCTCTACGCTGACCTCGGTGCTTCGCCAATAGATGTTGTATATGGAGGCGCTGCAACGTATCTTCAGCTTGCCCAGGGTGAAGTGTTCGTGTGTTAGGAGAAACTGGAGGCCGATCTGGGAGATCTGCCACTCTGATTCGTTGGTGTCGAGGGGGCTGTACGTGCGGACGTGGGACTCCAGCGGCTGCTCAGGTGATGGGTAACAACGTGCGAATCGGTTAAAGAGGAGAAACCACGATGATCAACGCGGCCCCCCCCCCCCCTCCCCTCCCCCACCCCCACCCCCCAAGTTAAAATTCCCTGGCTCCCAGCTCACCGCCGCGACACGTCGGCGACTTAATTCCGATAACTAATTCGGCCGGGTTAAGCCACCCGTTTTAAGGACAAATTTCCGCGATTAATCGAACGATCCCGTCCGCAACGACGGTAGTCGTTCGTCGCCGGCCGGGTAATCTAGTCTGTTCGACGTTTAAGGATCGTCGCTCTAACCCCCTGCGGTTCGTCCGTCTCACGCGATGGGGCTGTCATGCCTTTCGTAGCAATGTTCTACGTGGCTGGCAAAATATAGAGGCTAATCATAAACGACGATTAGCGTTGGGTTCTTTTCACCAATTGGTCTGTGCCAGGCATGAAGGCTGCCGAAGTTCGGATATAGAAAAAGTCTGACTTGGAAGATGTATTTTGGAAATTACATTGGGGGAAGCCAATGCAAACTGGTAGCTTCAGCTTCTTGTCTGTGAACGGCTAAAGAAACAATGGCAGAAGAAAAGTCAAGTAAGTATTACATGTAGCCGATATTAACTAGTCAACCTTCACGAACGCCAATATGAGCAGAAACATCGAGCATTGGTCAGACGCGTCAGCCAAGAGACCTATTTAATTCTAAGTTTATTTCCTCGAAAACAAAGACTCGAATCGAAAAACTTCACTGTACATTTTCGAGACAGTCCTAACCAGATAATCGATCTATGTATCAATCTGTACGTCTACTCGACACACGCCCAGCGCAAAGGTGATTTTTGGAAATAAAGACAAAACTTACGACAGGAGGAATTGGTATCAAACTAAAATTAATGGTTCTATACTAACTGAGAAGACGCCAATTGCATTCTGTAGATGCACTGTTACAGCTGCAGTAAAAATAGAGCGAGAACGTCGATCAGATTGAGCTGGCCAATATGTTTCTCACCGAGTTTTCTTTACTCTCACTTAGCAAGAGATACAGCTAGTTCTATTTTCCCACAAACATCCTTCGAAAACTCGTCCTTAAAGCTAATTTGGACAGCACTCGTCGAGGTCCCGAAATATAGAGAGATATTATAAAGACCAATATTCTGTAAAACATCGATCGAAAACCGCAGCGACACAAATATATGCACACTTCCGCGTGCCAGGAAGTGTTTCACTTACGAGAAGATAACAGATACCCTGTAGCTAATATTAGTTTAAATTTGCGCGTGCCCTAGGGATAGACTTGTACCGCGAAGGTTTAAGTCGTTATCCTTTACTTCTGAATGTCGGGAAAAATCCCTCGAACGAATAACAAAAGTCTGCCTAATGTGTTATTTTACGCGCTGTACAGGGAAAGCAAAACATTTTCTTCTTTTTTAAATACCAAGACTGTTTTTAGAGCGGGCTGTTCTTAAGAAGCTAATGAAGAATTGGCAGAGAGTTTCGAGGTTGTAGAAAAATAGCGCTTTTCTCGCGCCTTTTAGTCTGCACAGGTAATCGAGAATGGAGTGCGCAACGAAAAATTCGTTTTTTTCAATAACAATATATTTCATCGATACGAGCGCATCGTAAAATGAATCGCCCGACGAGCTGACAGAATTGTATTTTGATAGCTGCGTGTCATTGAAGAAACCTCGATTGGTTTTTTTTTTTTTATGACACCGCAACATTTAAACAATAGCTTTGGAATACACGCCCGATTTTCTGCGGGAAACGAGCGTCGAGGATGAAATTCGTTTGTAAGACTCTGTTACAAATAAAAAAAAAAAAAAGTTCGGCCGCGATATCAAATATCCATGCTTCGTTTGAATTGAAACGAATTCATCTCGAGCACAGCTGTCTAAAAATAAGCCCACAAAATGCCTCAATGCGAAACAATTTTTCCTGCGTTCCACTTCTATCGCAGTTCTCTCTGTGAAAGTCAAATTTTTATCGCCGCGTCTATTGTTTCGATACTCTCTTTCTCTGAATTTAACCTGTATCGTTGAAGTCACCTTTGTTTGCACGGAGAGAATTTCGATGTTTTCGTAGTTGCCATTTGACGACGATATAAGTGCGTTCTGTGGAGTGATTTATCAGCTCGCCGACATAGAAAAGGTTCTTTTATCGTATAAAAAAAAATTGTTTGATGAAAGGGATTGGTCAATATCGAGGGAAATATATAGTAAAGTAATCGATGCTTTGTAATCTTTCTTTGTTTCTAATTGTTTAGCCAGACCACACCTTGCGTTATATGTTTCATTCCATACACCAGAGCGAAATGGTACCGCGATTTTTGTAAAATAAACTTTATCTCAATCGTTTCGTGAACGAGCTGACTCGGCAATCAAAGATCAACGATAACCGACTCCGAAAATTTAACGATTGTTACACAAATTTTTCATTCGCAAATGTTTCATTCGCGATCAACTGAACCGACCACTGAATGACCGATCTCCGACAACCGCATCCGTAGTTCGATAAAAAAAAAAAAAAAAAAAAAAAAAAACTTGCTAACGCGTAATTACTCTATCGTATATTCTTTTTCATACCGAGTAAACGAATTATTTACAAAAACGTTTCGTTCCATGAGTTCACTCGAATCCTGCAACTCTATCCACGGTATTTATTTGTCCCTTTAACAGCACCGTTGAAAGCCATTTTAAATATTAGCTTTACCGAATACAAATTTTAATGCATAAGCTTTGTTCTGTGCTAACAAAAGGAAACAATCGAAGGATTAAAAAGCCGAAAGTGTGTATTTGTGTATAATCGATGAGAAATAAAAATTCGCGTACGGTTTCAATAATGCAATTGATCAAAGAGATCGTAGAATAAAAGAAAAATTCATATGTGTTTTGCAGCAATCCGATCGATCGATTTGTTTCACCTATACAAATTCATAGTACAATTTGTATTTGGAACGAAAACCGTCGAGTAATGCGGCGTCATCTAATACTGGTCCAAACACTCCAAGAGGAGCGAAGAAAAAGCGCTCCTACAGTTGGCACAAAATCAACTGGCCGCGCAAGGCCACTTTCCCCACTGTGAATCACGTCAGGCTCGCACCCCTACTTTCACGCTATGCCAACTCGCCTCTTCGCACGGAGATAAGTGCCCGCAGCACTGCGTGACGAGACGAGAGACAGAATGGTTGAGCGGGTGGGAAAGCTAAACCGTTTAGAGGGGATGGCTCTTCAGCGACCTTGAGTGGCCAGTGGATTTAGTTCTCGAGTAGACGTCTCCCCGATGATAACTTCAAACCATTATAGAGTGATTCTAGAAACCGGGATAAGCTGCAGCCTTTATCCAAGAGAAGATTCTCATACAATTGACACAGGAAAATGTTGAATCACTGAAGTGGATATTGAATTTCGATGGCATCATTTTTTGTTCATTAAACGAATGGTGATTCTACAGCTTTAAAGAAGCTTATCAGATTTTGTACGCGAATCTAGTAATTTCGATTCTTGTTACACTTTTATCTTCAACAGGCAACAGAAACATGATTCAACTTTACAAAATTGTATTCTTCACTTTTAAAGAGAAAATCTATCAACGTGAATACGTCGGTAAGTTCCTTTTTCATAAAATACACGATCGATAAGTCTACCATAGTTACAAAGTCAGATATTGAAATAAAGACCGAGAAAATCTTTTGACGACGTAATTTATCTCTTGATGCATTATGCACTTGCACTTGTTCCTTTCGGAACCATACATCTTCCTTCACATAAATCGATTCCTCCCATCATTCTGCATATAAAAGTATAAAGATAGAACCATTAAAACCATAACAGACTACGCGATGTTCCACATTTTACATTTGTATTCGCTTTGCATACTGCGCGTACACCATCGCACCAAACCAAAAAATGATGTCATTACACGATAGTCTCCGCTGGAGAATTTCCCCGTCCCAATTTTTTACAGCCACGCTTGGGGAATCAGCCTGTCCCAGTTTCCGGAATCACCCGTTAGATTCCCCTCATTTTTTTTTTCCAAATAAATCATTCTGCACTGACCACAGAGATCTTCGAAGAGAGGCGGAAATTTTGTTGCGAAATTCACCGCGAAGAAACTCTTTAGAAAATGAGGAAAAAGACACCCAAGGCACATTAAAGTACATAGCCGGATTTCCCTTTGCACTCAAGGTAGGATTGATTGCGTGAAACTCAATCAGTAGAGAGAAACAAATCTGTTTCGAGCGCGGATCGTTGCTCGCCGAAAGATATTACCGAAGTTAAATCTTTATTGCCCCGAGTCCAATACATCGGTTCTCAAATTTGCGGGTCTAACGTTCTGTCGATGTAAAACAAAAAAAAAAAAAAAACAAAAAAAACTATAACTCTCCCGGGTCACCCACGAAAATTCAAATTCGATGTAAAACGAGAACCAAACGCGCAAGAGGCAAGAGGAGCGATTCTATTTCTGAAAATCGGCTGATCGAATCGCTGAACCGGTAACCCAAATTGATTTGACGGATTTTTCCTACGTAATCCTAATATTTGAAATGGCTGCCATCCACTCACGCATGCCGTTGTTCCCCTGATAGCGTGTTCGAATAAAAGATAGAATTGATAAAGAGACTTGACAGACAAAGTTGTACAAGCGAAAATTTCTTCCTTCTGCACTTAAATGAATTATTTAAGAGCATATTTAAATGAAATATGGCCAATTCTTTATTAGGCTTCTATCGGAGAGTACTCTCGAGAATGTCTGAATTTCAATCCTCTGCAGGAGTCACCGTTCAACAAAGGAAGGAATTCCCTTTCTAAAGGGAGTGGTAGGTCCTAAGTTGATTCCACCTTTTGATCCAACTACAATTGAACTGTTCAGAGCAAATACCAAATATTTCCATCTTCCAATGAAAACGGAAGTACAAGGAAAAACATGTCTTCAGAATACAGAAAGATATAAATTATTTCAGAATATTTATCCTTTTACGTTTCGGTACGTGTAATTAAATTATTGTTAACAACGATTCAACAAAAATTGTTAATTTCATGGATTTAGTAACATATTTATCGTGCGGTAAGAGGGCACGAGTTAAGAAATAAATATAATAGAACAGTGCTTTTCATTCCACTGAATAATTACATAAATTTTACAGCTTCTACGTTGGTGACTGAATAATGAAACAGAAGTTTCCTTTCGAAACCCAGGAACGTTTGGAAAATGGAAATACCTTGGTTATGCACTGTGCCAGCCAATTATTTCGAGTAATACAAACACCACTGCCGCGGTACGGCACGGCATCATTCGCAGAACCGATTTAGACACAAAAGACAAATTATTCGACGTTTCTATTATATTAACAATTGAATTATTTCTTTCGTTACCGCTTTACCCTTTACAATTGTTGAATGCTCTAGTAAATCTCAATAGTTTTACGTTTTACATTAAAAAAAAGAAAAAGAAAAGTGTTCCATTCTCATTCATACGAAGCACACGATGCACCATGTTTATTATTGCCTAAGAATAGAGTGCACGCGTCTTGTTTTCGTTTGCGTAATTACCTCCTGGAATTTTTTAGGATTCACAATACTTTAGTCAGAATTCCCAATTTCAATTTAATAATTTCTCAATACGTCCTGTTTTTGTTTACGTAACTATCTCCTGGTTCATGATAATTTTTAATGTTTTCGACGCAGGTCCCATTATTACTTTTCTTGTTCCTCAAAATATTTCCTGAACGATCGTCAACAAAGTTCTACTTTTTAATGTTAAAAAAAGAACGTACCACACTTTCGTTCGTACGAAACACATGGTGCAATATACAGGAATTTTATTAAAATGGTACCTGTGTCTTATTTTTATTCAGGCAACCAACGCTTGGTATTCATGAGGTTTCATACTACTTCAAACGCCCCCTCTGTTAACATTTTAACTGAAATTGTTAACAGAGATGCGGGTTTGTAATTAACCGTGTCTTTCATTACTACTTTTATTCGTTACTACTTCCGAATGTTTTTAGCGAACCCAAAAGTTCCACTTGAAATTTTAAAAAGAAAAATTCGCATTTTATTAAAATCATGTGTGTGCTCTTATAATAAGTACCGTTTGGAATTCACGAGAGAAAATTATTTTTATTTTATTTTTCGTTAATATTCACTTTTACGTTCGCAAAATTTTTAGTGAAACGGAACCTGTCTCTTGTTTTCTTGGACGTAATTATTTCTTGTAACGTTCATCTTTCAAAAACCGTGAAACGTGAATTCTCCTGGCACGCAACTAGTACGATACATCAACCGATAAAAGACCCCGAAATTAAAAGTAGATAAAGTACTCCTTTTCACCGCAATGGATAGCCACTATCCTAGCGATCTGAAATATCTGCACTAACGAAGATACCAAAGTACCCTCGACCATCACCCAGCGATACTCGCCCTAAACGTTGAGCCATTCCTACGCACATGATCAGATGCTCGAACCGAGGGGGCGCGTATTGGTACTCTTGGCACGCAACTGATACAATACATCAACCGATAACAGAAATCGAATTTAAACGCAGATAGAATTCTACTTTCCACCGCAATCTATAGGGACTATCCTCCAGACTCTGTAGCATCGTGACTAACGACGATACCAAAGTTTCTATAGCCGTTACCGCCAGGAAAATGGAGATACCCGGTTATTGCAGAGGACCCGTCAATTGTCTCGAGCAATCCAAACATCCCCAGCACGATACCAGACCGAGTATCATTCGTAGACACGGTTCAAACGCAAAAGGTGGTCTTACGGGAGCCTGCGGTGGGAGGAGAGGGGTGGTGGTGGGGGGGGGGGAGAAGGGGGTGGTGTTGAATTCACCGGTCCGCGTTCACTGTCTGAGCTTCAGACGCCGTATACCAAACCCGTACTTGTCGGCCGTTGATGTACCAGGTGAGATTGGCCGCGGGTTTACTCCGGCCGGATGTGCAGTTCAAACGCAGCATATCGTCAATCCGGTATTTCCTCCTTAACCCGTGTATCGACGGCTCTTGAGAGGGTCATTCTGCGGAACAAGAGACGGCAGGTATACACGGCAGGAAGTATGCGAGGCATGTTCGAAACGCCGCTTTGACGTTCAGTCTCGCCTCTCTCTCCCCTATACGTATCCCCAACCCCTGTACCCGCCCGCCCCCCCCCCCACCCCGCTGTGTGCACGTATCGCGAAACGGGGAAAACTTTTCAAGATTCCCGGATGCACCGACATACCGATACCATACCATGCCATACTCTCTCGCTCTCCACGTATCTCCCTTTCTCTCTGTCTCTGTGCCGCGGCCTGATGAAAAATTCTTCTTTTATGCCTGGCAATTCGCGCTCGCGTTTCGATATCGAAGTAATGTATTCATAAGAGAGACACCATTGTCCCGGGGCTCTTTCAGACCCCTCCCAGACCCGTGTATAGCCGAGGCTGTGCCAAATATTTCGACGATGTGTTCTCGAACGGTGCGTTTGATATTTTTTCGCGTACACGTTCCAGCTATGCACGGTCCCGCGCAGCGTGAGTCGCGGATAGACCAGAAGGGATTCCCCTCTGAGCGCCATATTGCGAGGGCACCGGACGGGAAGTTCTCGCGTGTAAAGAGAATTTAATTGATTACTTTAACGTTTTTAGGGGATATGATTAATTTGCTTCGCGCGTATAGAGAGGTTGGCGAGTGTAGAATAACGACGGGGAATATGCGACAAAAAGGCAGGGTTTACTACTACGGAATTTACAAATATTCCAATTTATATTTAAATTTGTACGCGACATAAAGAGGATTTTATTTTGCCCGAATCAACGTGATAAATTCTATTTTATGAATAATAAATGAAATAAGAATTGTTAGTCTACAAACAGCGACGTATTGTTTTATAAAATTTTTTGAATTTGTACGGGGTAGCTGGTTACGTGAAAAAGTATGAGGACATTTATGAAAGCAAAGGCATAGCTGTGTTGCTTTGCTCGAAGTGTGTTGTTCACACTCATCTCGTCGACCTCTTCGACAGTTCGTTTCAACAAGAAGACAGGAAATATATTCCTGGTTATGACATTCGAATCTTTACTTAACGAGCAACGAATGCACAGTTGCTTATCTTTTATTCTTTATTTGAAACTTCCATCCAGACGAGAATTTTCACCCGTCTCTGATTATCGGGGAAGTATAGGCAAACGATTGCGCGCGACACGAGAGACAGGAGTTCCTCGAGTTTCGTTTTGTCGGGATAACGAGTACGGTTCGAGTAGGAGAATCCTCGCGTTCCTTTCCGTCGTATTTCAGTTGCTTTTATAATTTGCAAGAGCCTCTTGAGCCCAAGCTATCTTCCTTTTTTTCTTCCCGTTCTGCATGGGAGAAAAAAGATTCGAGTGACTGCTACGAATTCATCGGAGAACAAACACGCGAAACGCACGAAAACTTTCCACCACAGAGACGCAAAAACTGGAAAACATGCTCCTTGCGATAAAAAAGAAGCTCCTTTCACTACCGGTTCCCTCGAAATCTAGAATACGTTAGGAGAGAAAAATACAATGGTGTCCAAAAGTATCAGGCATGCACATGGTCGTACTACAAGCCACTCTATTTTCCCAGACGAGGAAAGTATACTGTATATATTTTACTATATTTAATGTGTTATTTTTTTAACTGCACAATCGAGACCTTTTAATTACTTTTTAATTTAATACACGTGTCCAATACTTTTGAACCTGTCTGTAGGTGGAAAATGTCGCGCGTCGTGGCCAGAACATCGGACCTTTGTTTTCCCTTTTTTAACAGTCGTTGTCTTCGTTAAAAATTTCGAGACACGAAGCGCCCAGGAGCGTTTTATCAAAACGCTCTTCGTTTTCCCTGGAAAATTCCGTATTCCTATCTCGCGAGATTTCGCCACGTAATTTCTTTTTTTTTTTTAAGAGAGAGAGAGAGAGAGAGAGAGAGAGAGAGAGCTTGCATTCAAAAAGTCAGGAAAAATTCATTCCCAAACGTGGAGACCTCGTTTTGGTCTCAGAAGTCAACGTTGCTGTCCAACGAAAATTTTGGCTTGAATAAATATCGTGAACGTCTTCTGATTGCTTGAAAAAAATTCCTTCGCGTCCAAAAGTTTGATATTACCCAGCTATGTAGTTGGGAATTTTTCCATTCGATTCTGGAATCGCAGAAGACAGAGAGAGAGAGAGAGAGAGAGAGAGAGAGAGAGAGAGAGAGAGAGA